CGCCTCCTGTTTCTGGTGATCCCTTGCCTAAGGAAGATGGTATAAAAATAGCTCTGTGTCCACAGTGCTTCTGAGGAGTGAAGGGGATGGAGGCAAATATCTCCTACACTGACATTCAGATGGCTTAAGGTCAGTGAAGTCAGAACCATTGTTTAGACACTGAATCTTGCCATTTATCCTGTTTGCAGGGGAAGTGAAGTGCCTTCAGTGTGAGCTGGAAGCAGAGCGATCTCTAATAAGGCAGGAACGGGAAAACATGGCACAGCAGCTCTTGCAGACAGAGCAGCAGTATAACAGTTCCCTCAAACTGCAGCAAACTGATCATGAAGTGGAAATAAACAAACTCCTGCAAGACCTGGTAGGAAACAATATGCTTCTGAATTCTTCAAGCAAGCTCTGTGGGCTGGCTTTAGAAGAGTAATAGCCTGAGTGTGTGAAATGGCAGCAACCATCTGTCATAGGTCACACCTTGCTGGGCCAGGCAGCAGAGCCAATGGCTTGTACTTGAAGGTGTGTGAAGACCTCCAGGACTCTGCCGGGACAGTAGAAGCAGCCACAGGTTCAGTGCAGGCCTAAGGCGAGTTTAACTGGAGGTTGGGAGCTCCCCACCCAAAGCCTGGCAGGAAAGGGGTAGGATCTTACCGGACTCCCTGTCTGCTATGAAGTGGACTCCTCACGTTGCTGTCAACTGCAGTCATGGGAACTTTCTTCCTTTCTTTCTGTCCTTTCACTGTTGTCAGAGCTGTTATCTCTGGGCTTGAGGCATGTGGAACAGGCCCCTTGTTCCTGGTACTTTCGTTCATGGCGTGTCTTGTGACTGGGGCATCAGGGTACCCATCTCTTTCTCACCCTGCAGTCCCTCTACATCTTTTTACTGATGAAAAGGGATGTGAGCTTTGAAAACAGACTCTTAAGAATAGAGAGAAATCCTGAGGAGACAGATGCTAGGAAACAGGCAGCCATCAGAGAGAGGAAGGTAACATCTCCTTTTCATAATGGTTGGACTCAATGATCTTAAAGGTCTTTTCCAACCTAAATGATTCTATGATTCTTCCACCTGCTGACCCACCTTTTAAGTTCCTCGACAGGATGTGATTTATGAAGAGTACAAAGCCATTGTTGCTCACTGTTGAGGTGGGTGGGATGAAGCTTCACATTTGCTTTGAGTAGCGTGGCTGGGACTTCACCTTGAATTCTTTTCCTCCACTCATCAGGCAAGCGAACAGGAGGGGCATCATTCAGAGCTGCAGAAGATACTGGAGAAATGGGAAAAAGAGAAGGTGAAGACAGAAGGGGAGCATGAGAAGAAGCTGTTTGATATGAAGCAGAAAGTTGCTGCCATGCGAGCTCAACAAGAAGAGGAACGAACCAGAGTCGAAAATGCCAAGCGAGAGGTAAAGACTGTGAAAGGAGAATTTATGTAGCTTTTTGCAAGGCTGGAGCTGTGGGAGATGTCTGGATATTGGGCTGTGTGGAGCATGCCCTACATGTTTTCTACATGAATTTGGTGAGGTGAAAGGCAAGCAGGATTATCTTTGGGACTAGAAGTGAGTCCTGTCTTAGGAAGCTGGGCAGAAACATCACCTTTCAATTGCTATTGTTCGGGTCTTTTTAAGACTTACCTCAGAGTATCTTCACAGTTCTCTTAACGGTGCTCTTTTGATCTTTACTGATACATGCTTATAACCTGAACTCTATTAAAGACCAAACTGAATTTGTAGGACTGAATCTCCATGAGGATGAGGTTTTTGTTTGGAGGGGACAGGGGGACATGGCAGGATTGTTGACAAAAGAAAATAATTTTAGACTCCTCTGAAATATTTCTGAGCAGTAAAACAGGGGTGTCTTCTGGGCTGTTTCAAGTCACTTGCTGGTAAGCAGTATTTTGTGCCCAGATCTCCTGTGCAACCCTGTCACACAGTGAGAGTCCTCCTTGTGTCCCCCTCAAAGTCCTCTTCACAGAGTCTGTCTGGGGACAGTAGTACCCCCAACTGTGTCTGCAGGTACTGAAATGCCAGGGCAGTGCTTAGAGATGTCAGCGTGTCCCTGTAGTGTCAGTACTTTACCAAAGTCTAATGAATACCTTAAAAATGAAGTAATTTTCACCAAACCCCACTTGGAATACATGAGTGTTCTGAAGGAGCTGCTGGCTTCAGTCCTCTAGCAGCCCTGCATTTTCTCTGCTACAAACTAGGTGTAAAAGTCACCACTGAAAGACAAACAGGCCGCAGCAGAAGATGAGGGATACCCTCACCAGCAAGGCGAGACATCTGAGAAGTGCCACTCATTGTCCTGTTAGGTGTTAGATGTTTGTTGGAGATTCAATCACAGGGGGACTGTGTCTGGACCATGTTTATGCTGCCAGTCTCTCTGAGGGAGCTGTGTCTGCAAGTGGCAGAGAAGGGCCTGGGAGAGCAGCAGCACAGCGCTTTGAGAGCGCGTCAGCCCACCGGTGTTGGAGCCTTGCATGCAAAATCTGTGTGGGAAGTTTAAACCTGTCTTCTCTTTGTTTCTGTGCAGGTCCTGCAAGAAAAAGAGCGTGAGAAGAGTGCTTTATTAGAGACACTGCTTCAGACTCAGGGAGAGCTAAGAGAAGCCAACCAGCAGCTGGAGCAGCTCAGGCAGGAGGTGAAAGAACAGCGTGAGAATGGGCAGGTAACTCTTAACTAGTTGAGTGGGTTGAAGGAACAGGCCGTGGGCAACTGGACATAAGCTGAGAGAGGCTGAGAGACCCAGGTAAGAGTGAAGGGCAGTAACAAGGAAATAAAGCCTAAGCGCTGTGAGTGAGGAGGCAGGGACTGCTGCAGGCACTGAAAGCACAGTGCCTGATGAGCTCCAGAGATGAGCAACAGGGAGGAAGTGTTCCAGTGGAAGCAGAGCTGGGTAGAAAAGCAGAAGTGGCTGAAGGAATGTGATTTTGAGACAGAAAGAGGAGAAAGCTGAACCTGATGGCCGATCCCAGTAGCTTGCTCTCCATTTGTTTTTGCAGAACATCAAAGAAAAACTGCAAGCAGAGCTGCAGGAAACTCAGAGTAAGATGCAGGCAGTGGAGAAGAGGCACAAGGAAGAAATCAAAACCATGAAAGAAGAAATTAATATCCTCCTTCAGCAGAGGGATGCTCTACAAAAGCAGGTGAGTGAAACAGCAATAGCTACTCCAGTCATCAACCAGGTGGTCTCTCCCCATGGCAGAGCAGCCGGTGATGGGGTAAGTCCCTCTGGCTGCTGTCACACTGTGGTCTCCATCTCAGCTGGGCCAAAGGAAACTGACCAGCCAGCTGCTGCCCTGGACAGATAGGCTGCTCTTTTGCCTGTTTGCCAACTCTCCTCATAAGAGATTTCTGCTGGCCTGTTAACTGCTAGCCTTGTTTTTTAAGGTGCTTTTTCAGATAACATGGTGACCCGCTTAGATTTTTTTAAACAAGACAGCTGTATCCATTGTGAATCTGGTACTTTCATGAAAGGTGAAATTCAAGGTTGTACTTTCCCTTTCCTCACAGTGTATGATATGACTGATGTGGCTGACAGTGGCAAGCTGTAGTCTGACTGCTCTGTTGTGTTTTACTTGAGGTGGAAGAGTTGACATCTCAACTAGCAGCCTCCGAAGAGTCCCAGCAAGTGATTGGCCGCAAAGCTCAGCAAGATCTGAGTGAGGCACAGGAACTGTCAAGGCAGAAGGTGCTGGAGGTTGTGCACCTCCAGAAGATCCTGGAGGAGAAGAAGAGTCAGTGGGAGAAGGTAGAACATCAGAACAAGGAGCTGCAAGTGTGTCTGCAGTCTTTGGAGGGGGAAAGGAGTCGATGGGGAGAAGTGGAGCGTGACAACACAGAATTTCAGGCTTTGTTGAAGGTCCTAGAGAATGAAAAAGCCAGGTAAATGAAAGTCTGTGAAACTCTCCGTTCTGTTTAATGGATTCCTGCTTTCAGATCTTCACATATACAAGTGGCTCAGGCAGCATTCCCTAAAAAGAAGAGTTCTGAACTATTCATGCAGATATTTTTCAGTCTCTAGATGTTGTGTTTCATTTTTGGTTTTTTTAATCCTTCAGTTACAGTCTTTCTGAAGACAGTGGCATTTGGAGTAGTCCTTTCCTTAAAATGAGGTGTTCTTCTGTTAGGCCAGCATGTTAATGCTGTTAAATGAAACTTTCAGGGGTTTCAAACCTGAAACACACCAAAGGAGGCAGAACAAGCTGCAGTATAATGAGCTAGATATATCCATCAGCTTTGCCTTGGGTCTAGTAAACATTTAGGATCTGTATCAGTCTTCCATCCTGATGCTTTTGGTTAAAACCATGGTTTTGAACTAGGCCAGATTCCCCTCTGAGGCACCCAAGAAAATAAGCATGTTTCTGATTGCCATCTGTTTCATCATTCCTCAAAAAATCCCAACCAGTGTCTGGAAGGGCTTGAGCAGGGTCCCAGTCAGCCTCTACAGTTACAGATGTTACTGACTGTCCAAGGAATGCAAGAAAGAAGAGAAAGGGTAGGTAGGCTACTTCACCTGGTAAAGTCTTGCCAGCGTTCAACACACACCTTCACTGAAGAAGAGAAATAAAAGGCAGTGACCTCTTGTTTCCCCTGTGAGAAATCTGCCATCTTATAGAAGGATCTGAGTATTTCCTCCAAACCTCCAATACTGCTTCTGGTATCAGCCTTCATTTGTCTAGCTGAAAGTAAGATGGGTGCTGCAAGTCTTATGAAACTCCCCAAAGATCACCTGGCTGTCAGTTGCTGCTGTTCCTACCAGGACATACAAGTGAGGGGAAGGAAATGTCTCTTCATTATTGACTAAACCTCTCCCTTGGAGTCTCATTAGTCAAAAGAAAAATTTTCCTCTGCCCTAATGTCTTCATTTCAAGACTTTGTTGTGTTTCTATTCACATTCCCATCTCAAAAAAAAAAAAAAAAAAAAAAAAAAAAAAAGGGGGGGGGGCTATTTAGCCAATAATTCCTTCCTTCTGTGGAAAAAAGCATAGTGGGCACGTGCTTGGGTATGGTTGCCAACCTGGCTGAGGACTGAACAAGCAGCCTAGTTGTTTAGACAAACCTCAGCAGACAAATCATTTTTCCCCTTGGTGGTGGAAGTCCTAAGAGTTTATTAAATGTTACACCATGTAGTAATGAGTTGCATGCTCTGACTTTCAGGCTGACTCTGTCTCTGGAAGAGAAGGAACTGAGCCTCAAAACCCTGGAAGAAAACAACCTTGCCCAGCACAACAAAGTGTCTCAGCTTCTTTCTGCTCTTCATGAGGCTGAGCAGCTCCATTCAGACCACAGAAGAGAAATAGAAGAGCTCAGCAACCAGGTGACCTGTGCACTAGCATCCTCTTCTCCAGGGACATAGAATACCACCTGCAGCTTGTAGGCCTCAACTTGTTTTCCCTCCCAACCACATACACTCCTTCTGTGTCCTGCCCAGAGACTGCACATTGAGGCTGGATCTGCTGTGTTCTGCCTGTGTTTTCCCTGGTTCTCTCATGGTTCATGGCATTAAATGTCTGAGAAGAAACAGAAGACTCCTTTGGAACTTCTCAGTATCTCCATTACAGATGTTGTCCCCAGATGGTGTTTCTGCCTCTGCCAGGCACTGAGCAGTCTGGTGAGACAAAGTTGGTTATGGCAGTCTGTGGGAGGCACTCCTGTCTTGGCCATTCACCTGGCATTTGGGAGGTGCCCCAGGAAGGATCTGATTGTCTGCCCTTCGCTTCTAATCCCAAGCGTCCCTTCCTTTGGGGATGGGCAAACTTCCTTTTGCCCCCCTCAGCCTCCAGATACCTGTTTGTAGCTTGTTTCGCTCAGATTGAATCCTTGGCCTCGTGCATTCTGTTTCCAGTGTGGTTTTTGGCCTGAAGTAGTTTCTTCTTCCCCCCTCCCTCTAATCCCTGCCCTGGTGCCTCAGCAGCAGCGCAGTCCCTGAGCTCTGTGCCTCTGTGTTACAGGTGCAGTCGCTGCAGGAGGCAGTGCTGGAGAAGGAGGCTGGCCTGGCAGCTCGGGAGGAGCAGCTGCTGCGGGATCTGGAGGAGTCCCAAGCAGGCGAACGGTGCTCAAGGAACTCTCTGTGTGTGCTGGAGGCTGAGGTGTCTGAGCTGCGTTTGAGGCTCTGTAGCACAGAGAGCAGAGCACAGGCACTGGCCACGGAGTGTCAGCAGGCCAGCAGTGCCCACCGTGAAGTCCAATCCCAGCTGGACAAACTGCACTTGGTTCTCGAGCGAACGGTCTGTGACAGCAGAGACTTAGTCCCTTGGAGTTCAGGCAGGTGTGGGGCTGGGTTCACAGCTCTGTAGGGCAGGTATAGGTGGGCAGGTGGAGGGAGGGGTGATTCTTTGTAATCCTGATGTGACAGACCTGTCCTCTCAGTTTAAGTTGATTCAAACCTTGAGAAGTCTTGACAGCCTGACATCCCTGACAAGTCTGTGTTTGCGTGTGGAGAAATGACCAGCATCAGAATGAAATAGGGTCCAAGTCACAGGGCACGTGCGGCCTTCCTCGAGGCAGTGCTGACATTAGTGGTCATCAAAATAATGTTAGCCCAGGACACACGTCTTGCTGTAACATGAGTTCTAGGACGACGTTAAAGGCATTGCCACCTCCTCCTGTGCATAAAGAGGCCTTGTTTGTTGGAGACCCTTTCAGTTAAAGCTTTCAACAGAATGGCTTCTCTCTTCAGAACAGGGTCGTGTCTGGGGCCCAGCTGTTTCCCAGGCCAGGGACCTCCCTGCAGAGCTCACAGTGGACAAAGTTGCCGCAGCCCTACAAGACCTGTGTCAGCACCTGGAGGAGGCTCAGCAAGATCTGGTAACTTGTATCTAGTGCACCCAGAAATCCCGTCCTTCTGCTGTACTGAACTGACAAGCAGAGTGCCAAAGCCAGAATGGATGTAAATTCTTATAGGCCAGATTGGCTTGCTGCCATGGGGAAAGGAGAATCCCCATCCCCTGTGCCATTACTGTCCAGGTGCCCCCTCCCACCTTGGCTGTACCTGCTCATGAGTTTGTACCTCTGTGAGGTGATACTTCTCTTCTTACCTCTTCCAGAAGGATGCAAGGAAGAAGATACAGGACTCGGAGCTGGAGCTGAGCAAAAGGCAAGCTGAGAAGGACTATTTCAGTGCCCACAATCAAGAACTGCAGAAACAGCTGGCTCAAAGCCAGGAAGGTACAACTTCCCTTTTCCAACCTACTGGCCCCATCCTGTCTCACCAGTGGGGATCTCTGATACCATGCAGAGGGAAAATGCAGTGCCCAGAGATGGGAAGAGGAGAAAAGCAACAAGCCTGAGACTTATCTATAGAACTACCAGGGAAAGATTTTCAGAGAGAAAGATCCAGTGTCTGGCAGGGCATCTGGCTGTGTGACTGGTGATACTGTGCAGACGTGGTGCCTTTCAGGTCCCATGTCACTACTAAGTAGGTCTAGTGTGATGCCTCAAGGTACCTTTCTCTGTATGGTCTTTAAAGGCACCAACCTCAGAAATCCTTGTCTTTATCAACTTCCTTTTCCTCTTACATGGCAGATTCACAGAGCATTGGTTCAGTGTTAAGTTCCTGTGTTATTGCATCCTTTCTTGTGCTTGCTTTCCCTCGTTCTCTGGAACCTAGTGCTTCTGCATCCTTCATACCTGTTTTCTTGCTAATATTGATTTGGTGCCTGAGCTCACAGCCATCAAAACCACAATTTCTTACTTCTGGAGCCACTTCTTATGCCTTTGGTAACATGTTCATGTTGTGTTTATCTACAAACTGGTTTTCACATGTAGCTAGTTGCCTCTTCCTCTAATCTCTAGGCCATCCCAGAGCCTCCAGGGCTATTGGCCTCTCAATATTGCAGCTGGACAGGCTTCTCCTTTCTCTGTCATTGCTTTCCCACTCTCCATGTCAGAACTGGTTTTTATCTCATTGTTGTGTTTTCCTTGTCCCAGACTACAGGAACAGGGAGGTGGGGGCATTGCTCATTGCCTCCCCCACAGCCTGTCACCTGCTCACATAGTGCCTTTATCTGTTCAGTATTTCTTCATGTTCCCTCTCTGAGATGGAACTGCTGCTCATTTTTCAGACTCTATAGGAGAGTTTTCCAGGCCTTAGATCATTGTTTTTTTCCTGGAACATACATAGTTTTTACTATGTATGTTACATATGATAACAGCTTGAAATTCTGCCATTGGATGGAATCCTGCTTGTCCCACTAGTCAGTTCTTTCCATCTTTAGTTCCTGTCTATTAGTTTAGTGTACTAGTTTTAGTTTTAGTTCCTGTCTATCTGTAGTCATCCTTGCTTCAGGTCTCAGTACTGGTGTGATGCTCAGTTGTTTATTCCTTGCTGTTGTCCTAGTGTCAGTGAATATTTCCTTTCCTTTTTTCTGCCAGTGCACAACATATTCCCCTAGATTCATTCTTTTGAACAAATACCAAAGTGCATCTTCAAGCACAACATTGACACCTGTTTTTTTCTGTAAAGTCTCTTAAGTCTTCCTGGTCAATGAACTGTGTTGTGATCAGTCTTCACTTTTGCTGCTTCTTCCTTTTCCTTTAGGACACTAGATCTGACTCTCACCTACTGTCTCTGCCCATGTTTCACTGATGTCAGTTCTACCTGCTTCTCACACTGTGGGTGATGTGCTGCCATGGTCTTAGCCCTGCCCTTTCAACACTCAAAAGAGCAAGCACATTTGTGTATTCTTCTGAATTTTGCCACTCTCATTCTTTATTCTCTACCTGGAAATTTCATTTATTTATGTATGCTTTGAAAGTCCTTGTGTACTTAGGGCCTGGAAGACACAGGCAGATAAGAAAATTGTTTTCTCTGTAGAATGCAAATCAGTTTGGTTTTGCTTTGCTTTTCATCTTCTCCTTCACCTTTTCTGCTGCAGAGACACAGATGGCAGAACGCAAGAAGAGCTCTCTACAAAGTGCCTTGCAGGAAGAGGCTGCTGCTCTAAAGAAGGAGATTATGAGTCTACGTCAAGAGGTGGCATCTTTGGAAAGGAAACTCGAGACCACTGAGAAGCAAAGAAAGGATGTCCTGGTGAGGCTGGCAGATGCTGTGAAGAGCCATTTGTTACGTATTTTTTGGCCTTCTGTTAAAAATTTTAAGGAGCAGCTTTTTCCAGTGGAGATCTGATTTTAGGTGGTCTTGTACAAGTGCAGTCCAGATCTGAGAAGGCAGAGAATATGCAAATGCTCACCAAGCTTCCCTCATTTTCCCTTTCCATTCATCATTCCTGTTTCCCAGACTTGCTTTCCTGCCAGGCCAGGTAAGCTGAATTAGCAGGGTCATCACCTTGGGTAATAGAAGACAGTCCAGAAAGGAGAGATCATGGAAATGACCAGTATCACAGCCTTTGTGGAGAGACCACAGACAACAATAAGAGCAGACAAATATTGATTATATCGTTGGTCGTTTTTTAGTTTAACTTTTCCAGTTACATCCTTTTGAATAAGTAGAAAAAGATGCTGTAGTCACATAAAATTCAGTTAAGATTCAGGGTGTTTGTTTTCCTTTATTTTGATGATTTCTCCCCTTGAAGCTCAAGTCAAAGTAATTTTCAAACTTGTCTCTATTTACATAGCATGGCTTGTGCTGTTATTTGTGTCCAAATCCATATTTAGTTTTCTAAATATGTGGATCAGAAAAAAGAGGTGAGAAGACAAAAGTTTGCTAATAATAGGAAGCTGTTCAACATTACCATCTGGGTGCAGACAGTGGGGAAAAAAATAGAGACATTTGAGAAACAAAAGTGCTGATGCAGATAAATATGTCTGCCTGCAAGGGGACAGCTAGTCCTGATTTGAAACACAGAATGAGAGTCTGTCTCTCACTATCACTCCTTCCAGAGGGCACAGTGTGGTTCTGAAGGATGGTACCATGAAAACGCTACACATTAGAGGTCAAAAAAAACCAAACCAACCCCCAAAATGGGAAATCAAATGTCAGGGTTGTTCTCACTTCCCTTCCTCCCTGATAGAGAGAACATCATTGTGCCACTGCCTAAATCATGCTTAGTCTGGACTTTAAGTCCTGGCTGCAGTTCTGCTGGCTCCTCCCCAGAAGAACATCTCAGAAGTTCAGAGAAGGGCAAAAAGGCAGATAGGACTGGCTGAGTGAGCTGGGAAAGACTCAGCCTAAAGGGTGGCTCAGGAAAGGTGTGCAGCATGTCGGTTACTCTGTTTCCAAGACCTGTCTGATGAAGCCAGAGCCATGCTGCAAGGGATGGGAGGTGGTGTGCTTACCTGTGTAACTCCTTGGCAAAGGGTGTTGTAAATACAACAGGTCCATGTGGGGTCAGGTGGAGACTGTGAAAGGTCTGACAAGCTGGGACAGTGCTGGGGCTGGGGAGGGGAGGTATCATGTAAGTCTACCCCACTGTTAGGCTTCCTGTCCTGGGTACACACGTACAGCACTGGCACATCCAGGGCACCAGCCTGGACATTGAGCCAGTGCAGCTGTTCTTACAGGACCAAAAATAAGTCACAGACAGAGTTGAATAAATACAATATGGTTCTCAAATTTATTTTGAGTGACAGTAAAAAATTTACGTTGAACAGGGAAACCAGCTGAATAGCTAGAATTTTCTACTAAAAGCTCAGACTTCAGCCCTTGACTGCCACTGGAGCAGGAGTTCAAATCTAGTATGAAAACCAAGTTATTGAATCTTTCCCTCCTGTTTCACAGCAGGAACAGGACAGACTGCAAGCAGTTGAAGAAAAACTGGTACAGGAGATAAAACTGCTTCAGGAATCTGTCACAGCTTCTGAAACCCGAGCAAATACAGTAACAGATATGCATCACTGCCTTGAACAAGAATTCCAAAGTACACTGTGTCTATTAAAAATCAAAAATGAGGAAGTGGAGATACAGTGGGAGAAAATCCAGATGCTCCAGGAACAGGCAGCACAGGGAAAAGCTCTGCAGGAGATTCTTACTTATATGACTGCCATCCTGTCAGAGAGGGAGGGAGAAGTGAAGATGTGCCAGGAACAGAGGAGAATGCAGGAAAAGCAGAAAGAAATGCATAAAACTACTCTCGATCAGGTTATTGAGAACATAATAGAGAAAAAAATGAAGATCACATCCCAGGAAGAACAGATACAGGAACTGGAGAAGCAGCAAGAAAAACAAAGGATTGCTGTAAGTAAAATGAGCAAAGAGTTGGAAGAGAGAGACCAGGAAGTCAGATCCCAGCAAGAACAGATACAGGAGCTGGAGAAGCAGCAAGAGATGCAGAGGACTGTGGTAAAGAGGATGAGCAAAGAGCTGGAGGAGAGAGACCAAGAGATCAGATCCCAGCAAGAACAGATATGGGAGCTGGAGAAGCAGCGAGAGATGCAGAGCACTGCTGTCAGCAAGATGAGCAAAGAGCTGGAGGAGAGGGACCAGGAGATCAGATCCCAGCAAGAAAACATATGGGAGCTGGAGAAGCAGCGAGAGATGCAGAGCACTGCTGTCAGCAAGATGAGCAAAGAGCTGGAGGAGAGGGACCAGGAGATCAGATCCCAGCAAGAAAACATATGGGAGCTGGAGAAGCAGCGAGAGATGCAGAGCACTGCTGTCAGCAAGATGAGCAAAGAGCTGGAGGAGAGGGACCAGGAGATCA